GTGGTTGTTCTTTTCATGAAAACTTCATAGGGGACAACAGGAAAACACTGAGCTAATTAGGAGTGTGACGGATGCCTGAGCCGCAATGTGGGGTGGCGTTGAGCGCCGCGGCTTTGATCAGCTAAGTCCAGACCTTAACCATGAAACACAGCACTCTGACATGTGTTGAACAGCGCCTACACATTGCCGCGTATTTACAACCCCAAACGACCCCCTGGGCCTAGTATACATCTCTGAATGTATATCTCTGTTCTTTTGAATACTTCTAGAATACTTTTCCAAATGAACACCTCTGATGAGTATCTTTAACTTTGGAAAACAAGGTTTTCAAGGATTTTCTCAATGTTTTCATGCCCCTCCTCTCGATGGTCTCCTGGGCATGTCCACAGTGACCTCCGCTGGTCGTAATGGGTTGTTTGGCAGATCCCAGATTAAAGGCATCTGTTCCCAGCGTTGCACTACTTGTTAAGATGTAGGTAAGATTTTACACGGCTGAGAATGATTCAAAGGTTTTCCACACGGAGTAAAGGGAATGACACGGTTTGAATGAAGGAGGTGGGTGCACATGTGACATGGCTTCTTATATTTTCATTCATTCTTTCGTTTCTCTTCTCTTTTTAGAATTTTGTTAATGACAATCAAAAATATTTGAATTTTTTTTTTCTTAGATAAAAATGTTTTAATTCGTCAGCTTGTGGCTTCATTCTTTTTGAACCAACCAAGGCCAGAAAACACCAACAGACACCAAGTTTCTACATTTTTACTCAATTTAGCCACCTTAGAAGTAATTTTAACTGTTTCGTGTCATTTACACGCAGAAAATCCTTGCAGAATTCTTTGTAGTTGGATGAAATTCTGCTTCACTCACTCCAACAGCTTTTAGCAATCCCAAAAGCAACTTTGGGCTCGCCAGAGCTAATTATCTTGTTTTGTTTTGTGCGAGTAGATGACATAATGCATTTCAGTGATGGTGTTTTGACTCCAGAGCTGTTTTATTGCCCATCTCCATCACAGCTGCATATAAAAAGAAGCTACTGTGGTGGCATTCTGCTTCATTAGGATAGAAAAATGTTGCCTTATCATGAATGAGGAACGCATTGTTGCCCATTGCTCCCCACTAAATCATAAACGCCACAATAATTTATTAAAACTCTAAATAACTCTGAGTAGATCTGATGTGTCTTTGGGGTAAATGGTGTGTTTTTCTGCTACAAGAGTAAACTTAGATTTTCGGTTCAGTCAGGAGGGCAGAAAGTTCGTTTAAAGCCAGCTGTGCTGTCTTTGAGGTGAGCTCCCCTGAAGCCAGCTCAGGGGTTTTGACGCTAACCAGACAGCCTCGGGGGGGAATATCGATGCCTTTCTAGGAGCTGTTCTGTGAAGACCTTGTGAGGCTGCAGGGCCTCTTTGAAAGGTTCCTGTGATGAGCACACTGTAAAAAAAAAACTACTAGCCAGTTCTCCACTTCAGTGCACCTGACTCAGCTCCAGCTTTGGTGCCCTGTGACATGAACACACCCTTGCAATGCAGGATCAGACCTTGAGTTTCTTTAGAAGCTTGGTGCTGGATAAACTGATTCCTCCCTAAATTTATAAATGTTAATTATAGCTAACATTGTAGAATAAACAGAAAATTGTTAATATTCTTTGCAGTTTGGATGCCGTGCACATCAGTATTTTGATGATGAGAGATTTCTACATCAGACAGGACAAAGAACATCCAAGAAGTAATGCTGGTTACTCCTCAAACTTCATCTGTCAGATCATTTTAATTTCACTTTTTGATTTGAGCTCTTGACAACATTTGTGAGTATAAAGACGACTGTTGTCAGGCTGCTCTCATTTTCCTTGGCTGCACAAAGACTGCACACTGCCTCATTGATGAGCTGAAATGTGAAGAAGTCAGAGTCCATGTTGAAGAATGTTGGGAAAGCTCCTTGATCGCTTCTTAACTGTGAACAATCCTTCCTTTCTGTTGATTTGACTGGACTTTGGAAGTTGTTGGTAAGGTATTCAGCTGCTTGGTATGTATACGCGTGCATGCATGGATGTGCGAGTGCATGCGCGCGCGCTCGTGTGTGTGTGTGTGTGTGTGTGTGTGTGTGTGTGTGTGTGTGTGTGTGTGTGTGTGTGTGTTCCTGTTGACTGAAAGCTTGCTGGTTATGGATGCCTGGCTTTGAATATTCTGCAGTCCTGCCACACCTAGCTGCTTTTTTCGGTTTCTTCTCCTATTTAGTTTCGTCCTTCATCCACTTTCCCTATTGTTCTCTGTTTACTTGTTTTATCTCATTTAAGCAAGTTTCCATTCATATGAATTTATTGTATAGTTTGATTGCTTTGTGTTTCTGATCAAAAGCTACATGCAGCCATTGTGATTGTGATTGTGATTCAGGCCTCGTTTCTAGTTGAAAATGTTTTTGAAAGTGTTATTTTTACTTCCTGCTTTGTTGAAGGACATCAAAACAAAGTTACTCTTTGTGTGAAGTGCACTCCTAATAAGTCAGGCTTTGAATGCATTCTATTTAAAAAAAGATATGTGACAAAATAAACTTTTGTTTTTTTCTTATAATTCTGCAAATTTTAAATTAGGATGAAATCTCTGATGTCGTCACTTTTTACAAAGAATAAAAGAATCAGCCACGCCCCCAAAACAGTGGCGTGATCTGCCTTTAAATATCAGTAAAGCTCCTTTAGTTACGGTCTAAGCTAAAAATGCATTTGTACTCGTTAGCTTTTATGCAAAGTGCAGAATAATCAGCTGTAATCGTATTATTTTTCTTTGCTACTATTACTTTTACAATTGTATTTTGTGTGTGCATCACTTTAAATATCTCTTCATAAATAAAGCTGCTGCTGTTGATGATGATAAATTAAGATAATCTGTGTCACACTGATGTGGTTATGAGGTGTGCTGAGGATGGGTCTTATTTCAGCCCGTCTGTCTCACCGTCCTTCAGGGGTCATACATATCTGACGCTTTCATTTCCGTGACCTTTTCATGCCTGTTATGAACTGCAATTGCTTCTTCGTCACTGCCTCGGTCTAAAAGGGCAAAGTGGTGATGGCACCCCGTTAAAATTCAAAATGAGATGTTCAATGAAATAGCCTCGTCCCATCTGAGACCTTTTACCTTTTCCCTATATCATTAAGCTTTAAAAGTGGCCCAGAATTACCCTCTAATAGCCAGCCACATGTTTGTTATTAAATGTGTGGGCCCTCTCTTCTTTTTTCCTACATTGAAGAAACTGAAAATGAACGTGAACAAAGGTTTAGATTACAGAAAAGACACCCCGTGTTGTTTAAATGAAGTACAGACATCAGAGCATATTGAGACATTCACCTGAACTACCTCACAAACAGCCGCTCTGCCTCTAGTCCCACTCTTAATTGGAACCATGTGACTAATGAGGTTACTGACCATCAAAAGAAGAATGGAGGTTTTCTGGGATACATTTAGGCATGTTTGCCAAACTGGCTGAGTCCCTTTTATTCTTGCACCCGTCTGTCTACACAATCCAAAGAATCTGTAATGTCACACGTGTTGGACATCTGCTCCCTAAAATGGTCGTATTCTTTTCTTGCTTTTTTGGCAAAAGTCGTTTTTTCATGTCACGATTTCTACTTTCAGTCAAAAGAGCTGATATTTTGCAGAAAGCAGTAATGTCTATGAAAGCACTTTTCCTCTTAATGCATTTCAGCTTGCAAATCCATAGATGGCACTGTGCATCAAGTAGCTCTGGGTTGAGATGACATCTTTATGGTTTCTGGTTAAGAAAAGTGGTGAATGATCACTCGTTCATGCTTTAACTTCTAGTAGACACAGATACCTGTTGAGAGTCTGCACGGTCAAGAGGAACAAGGTGCTACATTGTGTTTGTACTTAATTTGAATGAGTGTTGTTTTCTGCTGGTTTGTTTGGACTGGTTTTTTTTTTAAGCACAGGAAATTTTTAGCTGTATGTAAAATCATTCATTCAGTTGTTAAGGAAATGCAGTTTCTGCATTGAATCTCCTTTTTACAAATGGGCTTTAAAGCCTTTAAAGGGATACTTTGCAACTTATTCAAAAATTATAAATAATTTTAGTGAGCCAGTTTTTGCTTTACAGGGTTAATGAAATGTCACTCAGACCCCTACTGCCCTCTGTGATCACAGTATGGTAAATGGTAAATGGCCTGTATTTGATATAGCGCCTTCTAGAGTCCTGGAACCCCCCAAGGTGCTTTACAACACAATCAGTCATCCACCCATTCACACACACATTCACACACTGGTGGGGATGAGCTACGATGTAGCCATAGCTGTCCTGGGGCGCACTGACAGAGGCGAGGCTGCCGAGCACTGGCGCCACCGGTCCCTCCGACCACCACCAGCAGGCAAGAGGGGGTTAAGTGTCTTGCCCAAGGACACAACGACAGCAACAGACTGAGCGGGGCTCGAACCTGCAACCGTTCGATTATGGGGCGAGCACTTAACTCCTGTGCCACCATCGCCCACGCATATTGCATTTGCAACTTAAGAGTGCTGGGCCGTCACCTGTGGACTTGAGCTTACATACCTGGTTCTGCAGTCTGTTTCCAGCACGTTTCCTATATTTAGAATTGTGAACACAGCTGATTGGCGTAATCTAGGGATGAAACACTCCTGTAGACCCTAATGAAGGCTGAGGAGACATTTCAGCTGTTGAATTAAGTGTTAAAAAGATAAACGCACAGCAAGCAGATGAATTTCGCTTTCGCTTTGACCACACATAAATAATAATGGACACTAGTAGAGATGTAAGAAAATATCGATGTCGCAAAATATTGTGATTTATTTTCCAGCGATATTATATCAATATTCAAAACCGTGTATCTAATTTTTGGAAGAATTCACATACAAACATTTGTGTATTTTCTTTTCTTTTGGTGCTTTTCAAACACCAACCACTAGCTGGCAGCAATGCACAATGGGTTTTGTTTCCGTAATTAAAATGTAAATTTCTCTGTTATGGTTCAGATACCTCATGTTAAACATGTTAAATATCAGTTTGGACTGTTTATTGAATTTTCCTACAATAAATTCAGTCTAAAAATCTGACTGAATGTATCCCAATGTATCGTGAGATATTGTATCTTTGCCCTCTATCGTGATACGTATCGTATTGCCATAATTTCACCAGTACACATCCCTAGACACTAGGTAGTGCTAAAAGCAAGCACAACTGCTCAGTATCCCTTTAAGATTAGACTAGGAAGCTCTTCACAGATCAACTTAACTCTTAGTCTCTCTAGGGTTAATTAAAATGCTTTAATGTCACAGAGAACAAGAACATTTTGGCATTCAAATGCAGACATGCTGGGATGAGCAAACAAACTGCATAACTGAAGTATTTTTGTTTTATTTTTTTATTTTGTGTGAGCACAGACAACAAAGCAGCTATGCACCTCCAAGTCCCCACTAAACACGAGGGCATTTTCTCAGAGGACGTTAAACCGTCCCAGATACATCATCTGACTCGCATCAGCACACCTGGACCATAAACTATCCACATGATGTAACTGTTTTTGCAGAAATGGGACATGCTATGAAAACTGTTAGCAAATTAGTAACTTTCCGTCTCCATTAGTGCATTTGTGCGCGTCTGAGCACTCATTTTTTGTTCACTAAGAAGCTAATTGTTGTGGTTTCCTGCTGTAGTTTACATTCCCACAGCCGACTAGAAGTGTTTTACTGGAAGTCTCCTGCCCTGCAACCGTATTCGGGGGTTGTCGGACTATCTAGAGCTGCTGTCTGAGTAGAGGGTGTATGTGAGTGAGTTTTATGTGAGCTTCGGGGTGCAGCCAAGCCTGCCTGACTAAGACACCGCCGCGTCTCATCTCCTGTCCCATCTGGATCGCATTAATCCTGTGAGACTGTCTCTCTCTCTCTCTGTCTTCATCATTCTCTCCTGTTTTGCAAGACTCCTTTTTTAATTGTTCTTTATTTTGCTGCCAGGTCCGATCAGGAAACCCAAATATGTGGAGAGTCCCCGTGTTCCTTCAGATGCCATCATGTCAGCTCTGAGAAAAGTGGCTGATAAGGATTCCTCCCATACGGGTGAGTTTTCCTCCTGGTTTGTTGTTGCACAGCTTTTTAAAAGTGAAATGTGCATTTTATCCACTCAGAGGTTTGATTCAAGGGTTTAAGCTGTTAAAAGTTGCTGTTTCTGACCGTGTGAGTTGAGTGCATCCGAGCCCTTCACAAACACACAGAAGTGTGGTTTATTCTGAGCTGTGTGTTTAGATTACAAAGGAGTGAGTTTTCCATGGAGTGCATCGTCTGACAGAGGCTCTGACTTTTTATCACGAGAATCCAACGAGGACACGAGTTTAGAAACATGTTTTGTATCCACTTTTACATTATATCACTCAAGAGCTCAACCTGTTTTCTTTTGTGTTGGGCGTTGTGTTTATTATGTGTGTGGGTAACGTTCCTCTTAAGTGTTCTGTTTTGGTTTCTAGCAGAGCAAGGCGGACTCCCATTCCTCCCACAGGCTCGAGTGGCGATGTAGAGCAAGTTATCTTTAGCTTAAGGCATTACAGGAAGAGAGTCCTCTGACTATACACGACTTGTAGACACAGACCGCAACAACCCACCGCAGCCCAGTCACTGGTGAGCGGGACATACCGAGGCACGAGGATGTGCCCGACAGTCAGCTGGAAGAGAGCTCAGATGCTAGAGAAAAGTTATCTTATGACAGCTGGAGCGCTCACGCTGCGTTTTAGTTTTTTTTTTAAAGGAAGTCGGGACCGTCGGGGTTTAGACGTTTCAGTAGAACTTGAGAAAGTGGAGGAACATTTATTTCTTGAGGTAAAGTAAAATGATCTTCATTCAACTAGTGACACGTTTAAAGTTCGTTAATTGCTTTTTATTTGGGATTTCTATTATTGTCAAATATTGGCGTTAAAATGTAAAATGCCATCTAACGGCTCCCATTCTATTATTCCTGTAGATTTCAGATCATTTTCTTTTTTCATATCATGTTGACCCCACTGTGTTGTCCTGTCTGTTTACTCGTTGTTTATTTGTTGTGAACTGTTGTTCCTCCGTTCACCATCTGCCCACCCCTTTCCTTATTTATGTTGTATGTCTCTTTTCTCCCTTCCTGTCCGCTCCGCTGCGTAAGCGAAAACGGTCTAACATGCCACGAACATAATAATGGTTACTGCACAACAAGAGGAATATCCCTAGCCTGGCCTGCCAGACTCCTCCTCTGTTTAATTCTGCACAGAGAAAGGGTCTGGGAAGTCTCTTATTCAAATAATCCCACCCCCTGAGAATTCTAACCGAGCCAATTAGCGCTGAGTAGCGTACGTCACACACCATAACGCCGAGTTTGTCATAAACATGGCGACTGAAGCGGAGTTGGCTGCGGCTCTTTCCTCTGGTCTAAATGACTTGGACACATCTTTAAAATCACAGCAAGTAAAAGCGCTAAAAGCCTTTCTTCTAAAAAAAACTTTGTGCCTTTGCCAGACGCCTTTTATTACTGCAGCTAAAAAACAACAGCGTTGTGTGGTACAGTCGGCATTTCCGCCTTTTTATTTTTTGATTGGTTATTTTTGAGCTGCCTAGTCCCGCCCCTCAAGTGCCTCTCTGCATGTGAGTTACCAGACTCTCTCTCTCTGTGCAGAATTAAACAGAGGACGAGTCTGGCAGGCCAGAATATCCCACCTCCCTCTTGCTGTGGAGTAAAACTGCTCTGGCATGTTATGACACCCAGATCATCCATTTTGTCTTCTTCAACTGATGAGACAGGTTTTAAAAAAAATTATAATAATAGTAAAAAAAAAATATATATATATTCTCTCTCTCTCTCTCTCTCTCTCTCTCTCTCTCTCTCTCTCTCTCTCTCTCTCTCTCTCTCTCTCTCTCTCTCTCTCTCTCTCTCTCTCTCTCTCTCTCTCTCTCTCTCTCTCTCTCTCTCTCTCTCTCTACTGTATGTGTGTATACATATATGTATGTATTTATACATATATATTTATATGTATATATATACATATATATGTAAATATATACATATATATGTATATATATGTATATATATATATGTGTATATATACATATATATATATATACACAAATATATATATATGTGTATATATATATATATATATGTGTGTGTGTGTGTGTATATATACATATATATATGTATATATATGTGTGTATCTATATATCCATATATATATACATATATATGTATATATATGTGTGTGTATATATATATATACATGTATATAGACATATATATGTATATATAGGAAATGCTTTGTAGTTGCTACTTCTCTCACTCAAAATGTCAACATGACAGATTTGAGGTCTGATTTTTGAGATATTTTTGTGTGTGTTATGTGGTGTTAGTTACATAAAATTATTAAGGCAGGGTCCACATATATTGGTATTTAATTCATGTCGTTAACAGAGTTTAAGAGTCAGACTATAGTGGTATATCGGTTATTATTTCCTACTTGTTACCATTCCAACTCCTTGTTCTGCAAGACAAAATTTCTTTTGAATTACCTTAAATTAACATCCATGTTCTTTTGACTGCTCCTATTTTAAAACTAAACTGCTATGATTTACTCATCTGAGGAGCTTCATCAATTCTGACTGGAATATGTGAAAGTCAAGCTTATAAAGTTTCGCTGCCGTGGGCCGCGAATGCGGGAAAGTGGGAAGTGGTAGTTGCACGCGGAACGTTTTGCTTCTCCAGTGACAGCGGGGGAGGGGTGGGATTTTTGTAGCCGTGGCACAACGCCACACCTGAGCCTATGTAAGGGTAACACTGCAGGTAATAAGCAGTGGTGCTCAGTAGTTGGCCTGCGGGGCCCTTCTTTTTGGCCCCTGATCTGCCAGCGCCAGATCTAGTTTTCCTTTATATTCATATCAGTTTTTATCGGTATTGGAGATTAAGAGTTAGACAACATCGGATATCGGTAGAAAAGCCAATCTCAATCACCCCTGATTAAACAAATCAGCTCATTATAATATTAATAAACAGTTTATAAACTGCCAGACACACATGCAAGAAAATCTCAGACATGTTAACTAGACAACGATGAATGACAGCAGACAAGACCACGACAGGTGGCCGCAGACAGCATAAAATCCTCTACATGGTGTTTATTTCACTGTTGACACAGCTGAGTACAATCTCCCCATCTCTCTCTAAATGAGTTTTAATTCAACCATAGTTCAGATCTGTAACATTGCAGCTATTCTTATCCTCCTTTCTGTTTACGCTTTGCAGCAACATATGCGTGGATTGTGTTTAAGACGAACTTTAAATGCACAAAAATAAGCCATAAATACAGTTTCCACTATCAAAGTAGTCGCCCTTTGTTGATCCAAACACTGCTGATCTCTCAACACAAATGATCGGCATATTAAACAGTTCATTCCAATGCTTCTCCCACATAACAGGTGTTTGGATCCAACTTCCGCATTTATTGCCCGGACTGTATCGCAAGATCTCGAAAATCCCGCGCATGCCTGTTTGCGCACCTCAGGTCTCCGCACCGGAGCGGAGCCGTCGTAGAGCGGGTACCGGTAAAAATTGAGTTCGGAAGCGAGCGGCTGTGGAAGGCGGGGGCGGAGCGGAGGTAGTGGAATTTTGGGGTGACTCGTGCATTTTTCTCAAATATTGACTTGGTCTTAAAAAGCTTAAAAGAAAGTATTTGTAGGACCAGACAGCTCCTTTGGGCCTTTGTTGTGTACAGTTACTCGGTAAAAGCAGCCAACAAGTCGGGGCATCAGCCTAGAGAACGCTTCTTTTTCTCACATTCATTCTTGGCAGATAAAAGAACTTTACTGGGAAGAGACTGCAGGGTATGAGCCAACACACTCAACCAATTAGGTTTAGTTAGGGACTTTTGCAGATACTAGCCAGTGAAGACTAATTGTGAGAGCCTAGTTAGGCTAACGAGCCACGCATGCTTATCATCAGATCTTTGGAGTCACTTTCTCATTTAAAAAAAGATCTTTTTGCATTTGAAGATGAAGACATCAAAACTATGAACTGACGTAATATGAAGTCCCCGCTATCTGCGTTAACAGTTTCATGCTACGCGTATGCCCTCAAGCAGCTTCACCAGGTAATTTATACTGTTTTACAGCTGTCTACCTAGAAAATCTTTATGTGAAGCATTTGTTGACTCTTTCTGTTCTCACGCTACAGTCTTTTTGTCTTCTAACTTTCGAAATATTAAAAGAAAGCATCCTGGTTCCAAACTAGATGGCATTGTCCACAAACCTGAATTCACCTCCATCTCCATGCTTTGCAGTGGAAATTACATACTTCCCATTTCTACATCTCACATAGAGCTGGTTACATAAACAAAGGACACAATGGATTACAGTGTGTCCTTACCTTTCCTTTACATTCTTCCCATGGCCTCATGGTGTTTTCCATTCAAATCAAGAAAATATGTTTAGAAAAAAATAATCCAAGGTCACCTCTTTAGACCACAATCAGATTATAAGATGAGGTAGGTTTTAACTTAAAAATGGTCACCCCTCACCTTGGGTTTCTTCCCTGGATCCACGTCCAACCGGAGCCAGAAACCCACATTGCAACAGTAAACGAGAGAGCACCAAACACCAGTCACCATTTTCTAGGTCCAAACTGTCACAATCTGCTCCTGCCTCCCTGACTGTGTCTCTCCCCTGCCCTTGATTAGTTTTTATTTGTCTCACCTGCCCATTGTTAACCTGCCCATGTGTTCCTGATTTTCCCCAGTGTATCTATACCTCCCGTCTTGTTTGAGTCTTTGTCGGATCATTGTTTGTTGTCAGCGTTGTTTTGTTCTGTCGTTCCCGCTCTGCCATTAAAACCATTTTTATTTTTATCCGTGCCTGAATTCCTGCCTCCTGATCTGCTCCACCACACATGGTCCGCCGTCATCCACACCCTCTTGTTTGTCTCTTCAAATGGTGTTTTTCATTTTGGGACTCAGCTGTTTCTCCTCTGATATTATTTAGTGGACAACCTCACACCAGTGGTGTTCTGTTGCAAAACCCACAAGCGTGTGATGAATGGAGGACCCAGGGCGGTTCGG